TAAAAAAAAAAAAAAGAAAGAAAGAAAAAATAAAAAGCTTACCAGAATGCCTCACCAAACAGGCATAGGAAAACCATATAAATTAAGATGTCGGAATATGCCAAAAGAGATGCAAATTTATTACTTGCAACTATTCACAATAACACACATTGACTGACGTGTGTTGAACACCTATGTGAGGATTCCTGAAATTATCTGTACTTTCTGTATCTTCTTTAATGAGCAAAGATAATATTATATTAACACATTTGTTATATATACATGGCTACTATGAAGTGCAAATGGGGTTATTTTTTCTCATGTTATCGCCACCTTGTTTGCCATATAAATAAACATGTGGCCACGTCTGTTTGGTATAGAGATAAGCTTGGTTCAAATCTATACAAACTGCCCAGAATTCTTAATTCCACTTTTCAAAGACAAATGTTCTTCTCCTCAATCATGGATTTATTTTAGGCACACAACAAAGGCCCCTTGCCCCCGCCCCCCCATCCTGGCCAATATTCTGCCTGATGTTCAAAAACATTTGGAAACCCTCAGTTTGATGGAGATTATGTGCAAATTTTGCTTGTGGTGAGGGGGAACATAAATCATTGGAATCATTCTTTACTAAATTCTGATTTTCATAAGGGAAAGGAATTCAGATAAGTAAAGTAAGAGTATTGGGGATATCACAGCAGGGTGGATAAAACCAGGAAAGGAATGAGGTGACAGAAGAAAAGACAAATTTCATCTACAATACAATCTTTCTGTTCTGCTGTTAGCCCCTAAATTTACTAAGATTAAACTTTTCTTTAGAAGATATAACCTGGGAAGTAATATATAAATATCTACAATAAATGGCATTATTCATTAAAAAATGAGTATATTACATGATCGAATTACTTGTTTCCTTTCTTTTTTTTTTTTAATTTTTTTTAATGTTTTTATTTATTTTTGAGACAGAGAGAGAAAGAGCATGAGCAGGGGAGGGATAGAGAGAGAGGGAGACACAGAATCCAAAGCAGGCTCCAGGCTCTGAGCTGTCAGAGCCCAACGCGGGGCCAACGCGGGGCCAGACTCACGGACTGTGAGATCATAACCTGAGCTGAAGTCAGACGCCCAACCGACTGAGCCACCCAGGTGCCCCGGGTTTCCTTTCTAATGATCCACTCTTTAAACCAGCATAAAAGTGTTCTTTCTAGTTCTTTCTATTCTATTGTTGAAAGAAGTTGAAGTCCTCATTAATTCATGACTTACTATGCTGGAAGAGTCTGTCATCCTCATATTCCTTTTTAAAGAGTTTCTTGCCCTGAATTCTTATTTTAATTTCACAGATACTGTTCTGACTAAAAACAAAACACACAAAAACACTAATAAAATGAAAATAGCTATGATTTTTCCTCATTGTTGGCATCCTCCTGTTTTCTCCACAGGGAAAATAGCTTTAAGAGATCACTCTGAGGTACTGGCCTCAGCAAAGACTCAAGCCCAGTAATGCCCCATCCCCCACGTGGGACTGGGCACCGCTTTACTCCACTGCGGCACCTCTGGCCTGTGCCCATATGTCTGGTCACATGATTCTGCTTCCACTGCTCAACGTTTTCACTGTTGCTTTAGCAACTTGCTTTCTACTTTCTGGGGGGGAGTGGGTTGAAATATTTTTATGTATTATTTATTTGTTAATTATTATTGTTGAAATATAGTTGACATACACTGTTATATTAGTTTCAGGTATATAACAAAGTGATTTAAAAATTCTGTACATTACTCAATGGCTACCACAACTAGTTTAGTAAACATCTGTCATCATACAATTTTTTTTTAAATATTATTGACTAGATTCCCGATGCTATACTTTTCCTCTCCATGACTTATTGGTTTTTTAACTAAAACTTTGTATCTCTTAATCCCCTCTGCCATTTCATGTATTTCCCACCCACCTTATCTCTGGTAACCATCAGTTTGTCCTCTGTATGTATGAGTCTGTTTCCATTTTTTTGTTTGTTCATTTGTTTTTCAGAGTCCACATGTAAGTGAAATCATATGGCATCTGTCTTTCTCTGTCTAACTTATTTCACTTAACATCATACCATCTATGTTTTTGCAAATGGTAAGATTTCATTCTTTCTAATGGCTGGATAATATACCGTTGTATACCACCTTTTCTTTATCCATTTATCTATTAATGGACACTTGGGTTGCTCCCATATCTTGGCTATTGTAAAAAATGCTGCAGTAAACACAGGGGTACACATATCTTTTTCAATTTGTGTTTTCATTTTCTTCAAACAAATACCAAAAGTGGAATTAATAGGTTATATGGGGTTTCTATTTTTAATTTTTTGAGGAAACTTCATACTATTTTCCATATTAGTTGTACCAGTTCACATTCTCACCAACAGTACACAAGGAATCCTTTTTCTTCACATCCTCACCAATACTTGTTTTCTTTCTTTCTTTCTTTCTTTCTTTCTTTCTTTCTTTCTTTCTTTCTTTCTTTCTTTCTTTCTTCCTCTTTCTTTCTTGCTTTCCTAGCTGGCCATTCTGATTGATGAGGTGATCTCATTGTGGTTTTGATTTGTATTTCCCTGTTAATGAGTAATGTGAGCATCTTTTCAAATGTCTGCTGGCCATCTATATGTCTTGTTTAGAAAAATGTCTATTCAGGTTCTCTGCCCATTTTAATTAGGTTATTTGTGGGGTTTTGGTGTTGAGTTATATAAGTTCTTTGTATATTTTAGATATTAAGCCCTTATCAGATATATCATTTGCAAATACCTTCTCCCATTCAGTAGTAGTCTTTTCATCTTGTTGTTAGTTCCCTTTGTTGTGCAAAACCTTTTTATTTTGGTATACTCCTAATAATTTATTTTTGCTTTTATTTTTCTTACTTGAGGAGACATATCCATACATACGTTGCTAAGGCTGATGTCTGAGAGATCATTGCCTAGGTTTTCTCTTAGGAGTTTTATGATTTGAAGTCTCACATTAAGGATTTTAATCGATTTTGAGTTTATTTTTGTGAATGGTGTAGGAAAGTTGTTCAGTAGCATTCTTTTAGCTGTAAGTATTTGGTTTCCTAACGCCATTTGTTGAAGAGACTGTCTTTTCCCCATTGTATGTTCCTGCCTACTTTGTCATAGATTAATTGACAATGTAAGTGTGGGTTTATTTCTGGGATCTCTATCCTAGTCCCTTGATCTATGTGTCTATTTTTGTGCAAGTACCATACTATTTTGGTTATAATAGCTTTGTAGTATATCCTAAAATCTGAGATCGTGATACCTCTAGCTTTGTTCTTTCCCAAGATTG